CCTGCTGCTGGGGGGGGGGTCGGCCTCCCCTCCCCTCCCCTCTGATCCCAGAGCGCCCCCGCGGGAAGGGCAAGCCAGGCCGCCCCCCCCGCCGGCCCGTAGAAGACCTTTGGTCTGTCGTGGACACATTCAGCCCCTTTCCCAAGCGGCCTTGTCTCGGCACAGCCAGGGCCAGGGCCAGGGCCCGGGCCCCGCGCTGGACTCCGGGACTTGGAGGCGCTGGAGTGCAGGCAGAACCTCTCACAAACTGCCGGGCTGGTGGCTGTAACATCCCAAAGGGTTTCGCGGCTCTCTGGGCTAAATACATGTATGGTGCACACAAAGAGTATTCCAACACAGAGGCTCCGACGGTAGCTATCATAGAGAAGCAGGGCTGGAAGGGACTCCAGAGGTCACCTAGCTCGCCCCCCTGCCAGAGGCAGGTTCAGCCCTAGCCCAACCATCCTGCATAAATCATGGTCCAAACTCTCCGTAAAATTGCAGTCCACCCAGACACAACAGTGCACCGGGGCACTGCAAATGTCAGGCACCCCGTCTCAGGCCAGTCCCTGGCATAGCAGTACCGGGTAGCAGGGAAGGGGATGCTGCCAAACGGCACCACATGCCAGTGCAAGGAGTGGTTCTTCAGAGGGAAAAAATGCCCTCATGGTAATGAAAAGCAGGATCAAACTGTTATGTTTGAAATCATGGCTACTGGGGTCAAAGAGCAAGTGCAGTCCACTTCAGTGGGACAGAATTCGCACTCAAAATACATGATGGGCCAAATGCTTTTTGTTAGTGGGATTAAACGGGATCAGCACTTTATCCAAATCCCATCCTGAAAGGATACAAGTGTTCTTTCAGCTTTCTCATATTATCTTCCATAAACTGGTGTGTATTCCTCATAGAAATTCCCTTATAAGCGCTGGGATGAATAGGTAAATGCAAGCTATAGGGACACACATTATGGTTTCCTTGTTCAAAAAAGATAAAATCATAGTAATTAGTGAGCTATCACCCACTTCCTCTTGCCAGCCAGCAATTGCTTCTGTTTCAGCTTTGTCCTCGATCAGCATGCTGATTAACAAGGCCCATATCAGGACCCAATAGCCACCTAATTTATTTGAACACTAATACCACTCCTACAAGCTGCTAACAGAGAGATAACCTCTACTTTCATGTAGCTAAAACCAATTTATTAATATGCCTCATCATGATTCTGTACCTGTGTACACAGTGATCCCTGTGACCTTAGCACAGGTCCTGTCCAAGTCCAAGGCCACTAAGTGCAGGAGGCTGCCTGTCATAATCAAAGTCCCGGTCCTGCTTTCTGATCCGTGCTAGCACAGAATCCCATTTAAACAGCAGGCTTATTGCTGGTGCAGCACTCCAGTTAGGCACATCACAGTGCAGGACTGAAGCCTGAGACTGCTAAGGACTTGGGAATTGACAGAGAAAGCAAATCCACTGACCATAAACAACAGACAAGATGCCTGATCCCACTCATGCCTGCCTCTGTATGTGAAGCAGCAAAATTCAACCCTTCAGTCACTGGAGCACCAGCCTGGAGCCAGCCACACCTTGCTCCTCTACTCCCTCCCAAAAAGCAGTAACCAAATATATCCAGACAGTCCCATCAGCTCTGCTTTCAGGAAAAGCTACTGTAATTGGGATCCTAAATCCATCTTTGGGTTGGGGGGCTAAAGCCAGAATCTAAATTTTGGTCATCTTATTCCACGTAATGTCTTCTTTCCCACCTCCTGGCCTCAGATCGGCACAAGCATCTGGGTCCACACAAGAAAGCACCAAAGGCTTGCCCAGTAAAGTATGCAAACAGCACTGCAGTTACTTAGATAATACATGCATCAGACACTGTTCTCAGACACATCCCCCCCACATGCTTAGCGGTGGGTTTCCCCCGTAGATTGCCCAGGAAGGAAAAAAATTCTGTTATTTAATCTGCATATTTATTTGAGCTTTCTATCGCAGATGTAGAAAAAACAATTATATTGTCATCTCATAAGCTAATGCATTACATCCAATGGTCTGATTGTGGGTTTTTCTAAAATGTAGTCCAGGAGATGATAAAGGTGGTTGGGGAAAAGATAACAACAGTGTTGCCCATATTCTGAATATAACTGGCCCTTCTGATATTTCCTTCCACTATCTTTCCTGTCTCCCTTACCCACAATCTTTAAATAATCTTTGATCCTAGTCTCTCTTTTCCCTCCTTCATCTAGTTTCTTAATACATCTTGTTGCTTCCTCTTTACCTTTACCAAAATCTGTCCTTCTACTTTTTAAATATCTTGCCTCACTTTTCCTTTATAGTCTCTTTTCTCACCTCTTTCATTTCTAATTTTTCTCTCTCCCACCTCCTCAGCCATGCCATATTTCACCTCCATTGCCAGAATCCCCTTTACATTTTACATGCTTATGGTCAGCTACTCACATGGAATAAATATGTATAGCTCTCAATGGAGCCAACTTACAACAACTGATGATATGGCCCATTGCCTCTACGTTTGTCTGTAGACCAGAGCCAAGCCTCTATGCATTTGCTGTGCTAATCCATTCCTTCTTTGTGTTGTGGTAGGACTGGAACCAGACATGGTTTATAGATCTCCTGCACTTTCCCCAGTGCTTTCAAGATACAGTCCTTGCCTGGATCCCCTGTGCCTATCTTTGGATCGTTTTTCCATTCTATTACCTATATCTGAAGCACCACAAGAAAGGATACATCAGGATGTCGCACCTCTTCAAAGCTAAAATGGTAATGACAGGAGTGGAGTGATGCTAATTTTATTGCAACTGTAATAAAGAGTTTGATTCTTCCAAATAATTAAAACTTTCTTGATCATCTCCTGTGACTCTCCACATTCTTCTCTTGCCTGCTGTTTACTAGCTTATGACTATGCACGTTACATCTCTTTTTCTTCTGGCGGATCTTCCACGTAAGTGCCAGACCCAGAGAAACATGCATAGCTTTTACTCACTAATTTATCAGCAAAACTCATATCAGAGTCCGGGAGCAAGTAAGGATTTCAGGTCCGGGCCTGAAAGGCATAACAGTCCTTTTGACACTCTCCATCAGACCTAACCCTCAATCCTAGACTGTTTCCAATTATACCCTGAATCCTAAATCTGTCTGTAATCCTCAGATATCTTACAGTACATGGGGTTATTAGAAGGCAGGATAGAGATGCACTTTACAGACTAACTAAATCAGAGATGTATCCGTAAGGTGGATCTCCACCCAGCCTTCTTCTTGACATCAGACTAAAACAGCCAACTACCTCTCTCTGCTCATGCTGTTATTAAATATCCCAGATCACTCCCTTCTTTTTCACTCTAATATGTTTGCTTCCCCTGCCTAGGTGCTTGGATTCATATTGATGTTACTGTGTTTTTCTAATCTATTCTTCACCCTATGGGAAATAAACCAAGGAACACTGCGGCCTCCAGCCTTCTTCATTAGTCCAGCAGTGCTGGGGATCACAATGGTAATTTCTACTTTTTGCTTACATTTAATTATTTTGGTTAAATCTCACCTCAGCCCAGTTCTCCTTTTAATATCTGTAGGTGCAAAAGACCCACTAGACAGCAAGGCTGGTGTGGTTTTATAGGGAAGGGGTGATACAAGCAAAATGCTGTGCTCTAGGACAGTGGTTCTCAACCTTTTTTGTAGTAAGACCTATTTGTAAATACTGGTGGTCAGTCCTGACCCAGTAAAGTTTAAATAGAAAACAGCCCCCTGGACCTGCCAGTTCCCCTCACTCCCAACCTACAGCCCCCAACCCCTGCTGGTGCCCCTCACTCCTGACCAACTGTCCCCACCGTGGGTATGTGGAGTGGGAGGGACATGGGGGGCATGTGCTGCCCCAGATTTGTGTGCACACAGTGGGCACAGGGATGCAACCTGGCTGGATCAGCATGCACAGGAGCTGCCTCCATGGTCCAGTGGGCAAGACTCAGCATGGGAGGATGGAGTGGGTGGCAAGACTCATTGATGCTGGTACCACTGGAACACCCACACCAGCCACACCACCAACAGCATGAGGAGTAATGGATGGGGGTGGACTGCACTGACCTCACCTCCCGCCGCCAGCCGGTTGCACACTGGGCCACAGCTTTACCCTGCCACCATGGCCCAGCTGTTACTCCCCTCAGGCCACAGCTGTACCCCAGAGAGGAGGCGGGGTGGCAGGCAGTGTCGCACATGCCCCCCTGCCCCTGACACATCATCTATGTCAGAGCTTTCCAAACTTTTCATGTTGGTGACACACTTTTTAGACATGCATCATTTCGTGACACAGTAATTCAGTTCCGGGGGAGGGGCCAAGGGAAGCAGACGCGAGTAAGGGAGCTCCGCGGTGCCCTTCCGCAAAATTTTCTGCATTTCGCGCGACACACCTGCACACTGCCGCCGACACACTAATGTGTCGCGGCACACAGTTTGGAAAGCTCTGATCTATGTCCTCCCCACCCCCCATAGACTTACCTGCAGGGAGCTGTTCTTCATGCTGCCTGGCTGTCACTTGCATGTGGCTGATCACCCCCCTCCCACTTCTCCCAGACTCATGTTTTTCTCCTTTAAAGAAGAATACATTTTTAAAGTTTGTTGACCCATTTTTTTAAGTTTGTTCACACCCCTTTCATATATTCTTGCAACCCACTTTTGGGTCACAACCCACAGGTTGAGAAACACTGCTCTAGGAGGCTTCACCTACAGTACCAGATGAAGTTGCAACATCAGGACTGGGACATAGTGTAGCCACTAGGACTGTAACTATATAGCTTTACTGATTGAACATGATATGGAAGCGGTTATGGTAGAGACTAAGGCAGCCCTTAGCCTGTAGCTGTGAATGGACAGTGACCCTAGACCACTGGGAAGAAAGGATTTGGTTTTCCATTTCATAAAACTATATATGGTAACATTCAGTTTTACCATTACAAAAATAGTATTTCAGCCAACAGTCTACTAAACTGTTCTGATACAAGCTGACAACAAACTGATGAGTTTTGCTGTAGGTTGCGTTTCCAGTAGAGTTTCTAGATGCATGCATTTTTCTCTCTTGCCTTCAGATGCTTGCAGTGTTTCTTACCCAGCTTGAAAGACAGAAGGGTGTCCAGTCATCAGGCATCTTGTTGATTTATTGGCTGCTGTCATTCCTGTCTAGTATTGTGACTGTTAATTTGAAAATTCAACATGCCGTGAAATTGGTAAGTGCAACTTTGTTGATTTAATACGCACAGGGATGAAGCTTCTTGATAACAATATAGCTCCATGCAGTCCCCTCATTTTCTGTCTCAGTCCAGACCCAAAGAAGGTAGTAGATGAAAATCCACTCAAGATGGTCACTCTGAAGTAGTAGGGGTGGGGGTGCCATTAGTCTGGCAGCTGAAAATAAATGTTTCAACTGACTTGTAGGCTTTCAGAGGACTTCAGTCTCCAGCTTTTCTGACCATTACATTCACCACACATATATAAGCAAAATGGCTACTTGAATTGCGGTGCTCTTACCAAGGCCTCGCCTACTCACCAATTTTGTACCAATATAAATGTGCAAGTAGGAATGTTAGTAATTACCAGCATAGTAATACTACTATAGTCACTAATGTAGACACAGCCTATGGAGGTGTTGAATTGACTGATTGTGCACCTATCACAGATTCTAGACCCATTATTTTTATCACCCCTACGTTAATCATTCAGTCACTTTGTTACATGAAATGTTGAGCTATTCTTTCATACTCTGTCTATTGCACAGTCCCAAAACTGACAAGCAGCCCACAAGTGGGGTCTTATACTGATTTCACTAGTATAACAATACCAGTAGATGCATATTTATATTGATCTGTGTCCATACTGGGCAAATTATGTTGATTTAACCATGCTGGTATCATTAAAGAGGTACAATTTGAGTGGACATGGTCAAAAGTATAAGTCTAAAGGTTTTTATACTTGACCCCTCCTTTAGTTTAAATTATACAGCTGTGAACATTTACAGAAATCTGTCTAGTCAAAGTCTAAGGCTTCAATTTTCAAAGGAGCCCATGGGAATTTCATTAGGATTTGGGATCTAACGTTCTTGAGCTGCTTTGAAAACTCCAGGCTGAAACCTTTACCACGAATTACCATTATGCTCAACCTCCCCTTTGTGTTCCTTAGTGTTTTGTCCATTTCCAGTTGCAAGAGTTTTTCTTGCCAATACTAATAATTATAATTATACTAATAATTGAGGTATTTATATAAAGCATTATTGGAGATGAGTGCAGAAAATGTGACACACTCACACCAGCACACAGAGCGTGGGGCTCAGGCACCATATGAACCCATCTCTCTTTACGTGATTTTACATGAAGTGTTTTACTTCTCCTGAACAATCTTCTGGTTTCAGGGCTTCCTGGAGGACCCCTTCCATCATATCACTTCTTACATCTATTCTACCTTGGTGCTAGTAGAATTGGTGATCTCCTTCTTTACAGATCAGCCTCCCTTCTTCTCCAAAATTGTCAGTGATTCCGTAAGTACAATCAGCTTTTTAAAAATGCATCAGTCCTTTGTCTAAAACCAGTATCAGCCCTCAGGCATGGGCACTGAGGAACATTCTAGTATTTACACTGCCCTGCTCAGTAAAAGCAGGAGATAAAGAGAGATGTAGGTGTAGCCCTCAAGGTCTAAATACAGTAGGGCAATCCTAGAAAAGTTGGTTTGGGGATCTGAGAGTGTATTTGACATTTTTCCACTTTATCCTACACAAGATGATTCCAACAAATGACCAGGCTGAGCACTGAACCATTGCTACAGCAATGTGCGTCTGCCAGTGAAGTATGTGGGGTAGCGAAGCTTTACACGTACATCCTCAAAACCTGGTGACCTAGCTCCACCCACACCCCTTACCTTTATTTTCATAAATATTGATGCATGGTGGTAATGGCAGTTTCTATGGCTCTCCCAGCCTGTGATTAAGTAGACCCACTGCTTATGAAAGCTTATTCTGTGCAACTCTGATTTAGCTTGTCTGTCAAGTGCGCACCTACCCTATCTTTTCCTTGACTTCAGGCTAGCTTGGCTAACTACGTCTTTCACCCAGCTCCATG